CAGACCTCCCCAAACCTGCAATGTAAATCCAATTAATTTCATTGGTTTTCCTCTTAGCATTCTAGAACTTTCAGAGGAGAAGGGAGGGGGTGCAAGGACCTCTTCCAGGGTTTGTCCACACGAGTTACCAAACGTACAAACACACATTACCTACACGTGTGGCTTAAACACCCCTTCTCTGAGGCATCTCTACAAATTCACTTTGCAAAGGTGTCTTTCTTCATCTGCTTTTATTCTTACAATTCCCTCATATTTTAAGCTGACCTACTGATTGCTCAGCAGAGAATTATAACTAGGATATAGAATGATGCTCAGGTTCTCCAAGCTGCAGCAAACCTCACAAAGACAAAAGGCAGCTTGTTGTGTGTTTTTTCCAGGCACCACTTGGATTGGAGTCCATCATTTATCCAGCATCTAAAGTAAAAGCTTTATCTGTGTTGATTCACTTGTAGTCCCACAAAGGTCAGCGCTGCTGTTTTTAAATGATACCTCAGTAATTATGCCTTAATAAACACCGAGTTTTGCATACAAATTAAAAACAAATGAGAAGCCTAAAAAGGTTAGTGCTCAGTTAGATATGGATCTAATTGTAATAACATTGTAAAGTTACTTTAGGATAATGCACACCTCTATTAAATATTATGAGCCATATTTCAAGCAACTGAATTAATTAATTTTTATTTAGTCACACACTCTCATACCTACTTCCTTAATTCACTTTACTACATGAGAACTTGAAGGATTGCTACTAAAAAGAAACAAAAATCAAAAACTGCGGGTTGTTCAAATTAAAAACAAAACCAAACCAACCAACAAATAAAATCAACCAAAGAAATCCACACAGACAAATTGAAAAAAAAAAGCAAGGAGGTATTTGTCAGGGAGAAGAGTTCTTATAATTTGGTCATTTTTCTAACATTACTAGCAAGCACAAGTGTCTAACTGAAAAAATGGGGAAAAATGTAATACTCACTCCTTTTTCAGAGCCAAGCATGCAATTAGAGCTAATCAAGACACAAGTTGTTCTCATCTTACAAATGTCACATTCTTTGCAGGAAGGAATGATCTTAAGTAAATATCACCCTGTTCAACTTTTAGGAAAATTAACAACATGCAAGACAAAATGTCCAGCAACTAGGAAACCATGGTTCATTATGTCTTAGCCTGAACCCCAGTGGACTGAATCAGTGAAATACAAAACTTTTTCCTTCTGCTTTCTCCTCTTCCTTATCATCTTAAAATAAAGAAGAGAGGGCTTAGCAGCTGTTAGCAGCTGTTTGCTCTGGCATTTCAAAAACTGGTGAAGGTGGCAAAATTAGTATGTGCAAATTGCTGATTTTTTTTTTTTTTTAATTCCTTTTACTCTAAGATATCAAATTTACATTGACATTACAAAAACAAAAAAATAAATAGAAATAGCCTGGCTGTCCCATGGAACCTATCAGTGGTTAAATGCTCTCTGCACTCTCTTCCAGCTCTCAGAAAACACCAGTTTACTGTTCAAGTGTCCAACATTCAAAGCAAAGCTTCAGAAATTCTGGTCTTTGTTTGTCAAGGTGATTTTTACTTTCTAATGCCATCCTAGGGCGATCCTAGCACATTTCCTAGGGTATGTGCTGCACCACAAATTTCTAAAAAATCATGTTGAACACTGAACAGGAAAGATTCCTATTCAGATGGACTGTAATTCTAATCATGCACTCAGTAAAGATATTTTTTAGTATCAACACAAGCCATGGGCATTCAGCCACTGAAACAACTGAAGTTCAGACACAGCAGCTGCTTCAGTAAGAGGTTTTATTTTGTTTCTACTGCCTGAGAGACACTGGGTCCTCCCCTTAGAGTGACTCAGTGATGGTTTATGAGTCTGAAGAGGTTTCCAGGTTCCTCACCTGCCCTTTGCTGCCTCACTCAGGTCTTTCCCTGCCAGGGATGTGCCATTTAGCCAGACACAGCAGTGAAGGGAGGGCACAAAACACCAGGTTGGGTTCAGCTGTGCCTCACAATGTGGGACCCCAAGTTAACCACAGATGAACATGTTAGAATAGAAAACCTGCCAAAGCCAAGCAGGACCCGTGAAACATTCCACAAATGTGTACCAGAAAAAAAACAGGAGTTCCTCAGTACTGAAAATTCGTGCAACATCTGGACAGGTGTGCCCTTTGAAAAGAAAACACAATTCTCCCTCACCAAGAGGGCATTAACATTTGTGTGAAGAACCATTTTGCTGGTCAGTGAAAGCTATTCTTGCTGCCCATACTTTTGGTGGGTTTTTAATTAATTTTCATTATTTTAATAATTTAAATAATTTAAAATAAAATTATTTTAATTAAGCCTGAACTGAGTAGAAGATGAGTTTCAGAGAAGCAAGAAAAAGCCTGAAAAATCTTTTCCTTTGCATTCAACTCCTCTGTGCCACTGATAAGGAAAACTGGCTGAGCTGCCACCGGTCCCCAGGACGTCTCATACTCAAGTTCCCACCAGCTGATCCAACAATACCCTGTCCTTTACCAGGCTTTCCAAATTCAGCCTTGGAAAGGCTGAAATACACAAAAGAACCACTCAAGAACCGAGCAGTTTGAAGGAAAACTGAGTGGCTGGAGATTCCTGCAGCTTTTTTTCAGCACTTTCAAGGGACAGCAATACAACCACAGGCACTCACTGCCTTCCAGTGTGGCCTCCTCACAGCGTATACAAATTACCACAAAAAGTAACTTCTGCTAGCTCTACCCCCACAGCTGAATTACTCCTTGGTACGGGAGCCAGAAGGCTCTGAACTCTAAATCCAAGACTGTCACAAATTGGCTCTAACAGATTTATCTGCCCCTTTAACAGAAGTTTAAGGATCTCCCTTGTTTCACAGTGCAGTGGTTTAAAGTAAGTAGTGCTTGAAGAGGCAGACAGTGAAAGAAAAGGGATGAGATGATAATCAGACAGGTATTTTCTTTTCATAACTGGCTATCAGACAGCTCCAGGGCATTCCAGAGAGAAATTAAGGGACTTGTTACATGCAAGACCTGCCTAAATCACTTCTATTGCTTCCATCCTTCAGCTCATTTTATTCTCCTGTTTCAGTGTGTTTTTTCTTATTTCCATCCCTCCTTTTCCTTTTTCAGCTCTATTTCTGTCATCTTTGTGGAAAATATTCCATTGCCCTATCGTAATTTGCCATCATAACATTCTCAAGCCACTCCAGATCTGTGCTGTCCTCTTGTGCCTTTATTTTCCAAGTTTTCATTCTCAGGATTCTGTGGCTGAGTCTTGAAATCGTCCCAAGAGGTCTGAACACCCCATGTCCATCAAATTTAACAAAATGCCAAAGTTCTTAGGCTGAAAACATTGCCTCTAATTCTAAACACAATGCAATCAGAAAAAAACACAATTTTGTGTCTTATGAAAGCACAGCCAAGGTCAGGCAATCAGATCAGAACACAGGCACAGTAGCAGAAGCTTAATAAATGCTGTAAGGCCTTTGCAAGAACCTTTCCCATCTTTGCTGAGATATTCATCTGGAGCTATGAGCGTTCCCCTCCCCAGCCAGTTCACATCTGTTTGGAAGCAAACACACTTCTGCAGGCTGGAGAAAATAACCCATTTCCTGCAGATCCCTGTAATTGCTACAGAGAGACCAGACACAAATTATCTCTTTTTTTTTTTTAAGAAATAAAAAAAAAAAGCCTTTTTTTTTTAGTCTGTGGTAACTTTTCAACTGCCACCAATGATGAAAAGAGAAATTAAAAATAAAAATCAATATTCCAAACACCAGACTACATTCTTTTCAGGACTGAACGGAATCATTTTTTAAAAAATTCTGATATGCCATACAGTTTTGTAAGTAGAAACTTTTAGCTGCACTTTCCATGTAAAGTAAGTCTAGAGCTTTACACTCCCCGACTGAAAAGACAGAGGGTTGTGGGAACTTCCCCCTCACTGCACAGAAATTCAATACTATGAATGAAATTCAGCTTGCAGAAGAGATGCTTGAATAGAAACTGCAATTTTAAGGCTTCTGAAGCGTAAATCTAAGATAAGCTGGGGCATTCTGATGCTCATCTGAAGCTGAACTCCAAACAATATGAAGCTCCCGTGTCACTGGTGATTAAACACTGCAGTGGGTTTTACTCCAGAACTGCTGTCAGAGATGAGAACTAAGCATTCCAATGGCTGGGATTTTATTAGGTTATTTATTCATTTCAAAGAACAGGAGGTTCTTCATGACTAGAAATTTCATTGAAGCACATCCCCTGAGGAATGAAAGCAGGAAGGAAAGATGCACAGGAAGATACAAATAGGGATGTTCCCTGTTTAATTGCAATGCCAGGAGGGTTGACGTCTCCTTCCCCAAGCAGGAGTATCTCACCTGTATTTCCAAGCAGAACAAAGGTTCCACAGTCAGTGACAAATTCGAGCCACTCACTTGAAAAGGCACTCACATGAGTGATTATAGCTGAGGTTAATTACATTCTAAAGATAATTGAACTTGAATCCCATCTGAATCTTCTCAAACGCATCCAAGTGCACACACAGCCCTGGCCCTGAGATTGGCAGTGCTGGAGTCAGGGTTAGCCCATGCTGGGGTGGGCAGGGTTTGGGTGTTGTAATGCAGTTAGGAAAAATGGTATGACCCAAAAATGTACCCCCAAAAATGTAGAATTGTAAGTTTCTCCCCAGTTCCCCTTATTGGTTGTGTAAATTCCCCCCTGTCTTCAAAAAGGAGTGCCTATCCATACCTCTTCCTCTTTCCCTCCTGCCACCTCACCCCGAAGGATCCCAAGAAATCAAGCTGTGACTGCCATCTCAGCAGAGGGAAAGAGCTCGTTTTTAGGTTCTTCTTTGGGAAGCTAATCTATCTCCCCTGTCTCCCTGGCTGCTGTGGGTCGGACAGTGGTGGCAGAGTGAGAGGGGACATTAGAAATCATAGCAGAGGGGTACAGAGAGCAGCTCCAACACCACTCGCTCACTCGGTAACTGCCCGATTCTCCGCTTTGCTCCTGCCGCAGATCCCGCTGTCCATGAACGTGTCGACGTTCCTGGCCTACGACCAGCCCACGCTGAGCTACTGCGGGGTGCACCACGAGCTGCTGGCCCACCAAGGCTACGAGAGCGGGAGGGATGAGGCTGCGGCCGCGGGGCTGGAGCCCGAGCTGGACCTGAGCACAATCACCACGGCGGCGCGCAGCAAGGAGCACGGCCAGCCGCTGCCCTAGGGACACCAGTGTCCCCAGCCCGGGAACACAGGTGACACCGGCTCCCTGTGCTCTGGGAGCCCTGTGCTAATTAAAAGCGAATCACAAAGATTAATTGCTTCCGGTCTACAGTTTGTAATTAGTTCCGTTGTGCAGTATTTTTTTGACTTCAGAGTATGACCCTTGAAGTGAGTCTTTTTCAAAACTCATCCTACCTACCTGTATAAACTGTACAGATGTAATGTATTTTTCATATTGTAAAGTTTCAATTACCGAGAACGACTGGTATGTACAGTACCATAATTTAATTACATCTTCCTTTACGAGCTTCAAATTAACAAAAGTTATTTCTTGTGTTATTAAGTTACTCTGTTTTGTAGGGATCATTTTGTTACTGCTTTTGTGCCCAGACAACTTTAATCTAAAATTCTGTCCTTTGCAGAATATGCACCATTTTTACTGTGTTTAATGTGTAGAATTTTATCTACTGCTTCCAGAGGGAGGGTTTAACTATTCAAACTTCTAGGAAATTCTTGAAAAATATAGAGCCAAGTTTTCCTAGAAATCAAAATTTTAAAAAAGAAAAAAATTATTATTCTCCTCCAACTAACCTGTTGCCTTGAAATACAGCCTGATTTTTAACCACAAAGCTTGGTTATGCAACTGTTAGTCAAGGCTGATGATATTTTATTAAGTCTCACTGTTCTGCAAGACAATACAGGGCAGGAGACTTCACCAGGCAGCTACGAGATCTGCTGTGAGAGTCTGCCAAATCAGGCATTTGTATTTCTGCTCAAACACAAAGGGGTCCAAACCTACTTCTGTCGCAGGCAGCTGCTGACAGAACAGTTATTTCTGTTATTAACAGGCAACAGAAACAAGCCCTTGAGCCACTCCTAGAATGCAAAATGCTACTCAAAAGAAACACCCACTTGCTGACAAATGCAGTGATTTGGAACAAATGGTCAAAGTTTAAATCCTTTAACATTATGATAAAGCAAACAGAGAAAAAAAAACCCAAAACCTTTAAAGAAAAAAAAAATAATTAATGTAGTATTAAGTCTTTAACAATTACTACATTGCTTATTTGTCTCTCATTTAATATCTGGATTGAAGCATTCTTATATCCCATTCTTTGGTTTTAAATCTTCCAAACTTCTCGATACTGTATGAGAGTAACTTTTTATACCACTACCCACTACCCTGTAATCATAAAAGATTACAGAAATTAGGAAGACATTCTATCATGCTGACTCTGTGAAAAACAAAATGGGAACACGAGCCTTCCAAAATATAGGGAAAAAAAAGTTTCATATGGTGAAGCAACTTTTTTATAATAAAGAGAAATTATATAACCACAAATCTATTTTTCTGGATCTTTATCCCACCATACTTTCATGTAGCTTCAAAGCGGAAGACTGAATTTTAAAATTACAGGGCAACTGTTTGTGCAAAACAAGGTGAACAGAATGAAAATTAGCTTCAAAAATTGGTAACTAATCAATCTGCATTCAGTGCCTGTTAAAGTGGAAACAAAGTGTCAAAAGAGAACACATTGTACTGCTTATTTATTAGCACTTAGATTTTGTAACATATTTTGCATAAATTACTTCCTCTCCGAAACATTAATTGTCTTTTTAAGACACTTCTTAAATCTTCACACTCCAGTTCTGTATTTCTTCACTTCGCTGGTTTTTGAATGTGTGGTCACCTTCCATGGAGCTGGAATTTACCTACCCATAGTTTGGAAATAGTTTTGTTAATTGCCCACTGCCAACAAACACGAGGGAGTCACTCTGGAGCCCGGTGGCTTTGGGGCTGCAGGACAAAATTACCTGAACCACTCCACAGCAGCTCTTGAGGTTTAATGTTTTGGAGCAGGTCTGAGCTGGAAGGAGCAAATGCCACCCCCTCCCAAAAGGTCATTTCAGCTGCTCTTCCTCTGTCCTTCCCATCCTGTACTTCCACCCGCTGCCCTCAGGTATTTGTGGTGTGTGAACAAGGACCTGGCACTAACTCCAAGGTTCCATGTATTTTATGGAGAACTGTTCACCATGAGCATTCCCAGCGCTGGACACCAGTGACTTTAGACAGGGAAAGTATTTTCTTATGCAGAGACACAATACGTTTTTGATGTAGCTGCTGAAAGAGGCACAGCTGGGTGGATATTCCCATACACACCAACATTTCCCTTTTCCTCAGTCATACATCAAAGACTCCCAGTTCCAGACCCATGTGTCACAGGGGAAAGGGTAGAAGCAGAGTCACACAACTGGACCCTCACAGATTCCTCATGCTCACAGTCACTTCCCAGGCATCTGAAGCTCCAGGCTCTCTGCAAGCCCAGGAGGCCACTCCAGCTCTGCAGGATGGATCCAGCATCCCAGGGCCCAGAGCAGCAGGGGGTGTGTGCTCACCCCACTCCCAGACTGTTAAAACACGACTTTCTCTAAGAATTCAGTGTACACCCTTTTTTTTCCAGCCTGAAACATGTTATTCTCAGCAAGATGGATGTCTTCAAGAAAGCCAGATGGCAGGTAAGTACCTTCTCTAAAAGATCCTCACCATGAAAAATCCTAAAAGGTTTGGCTACCCCGGAACCAGAGTGACTCCTGAACTCTGACCTGTGTACCCCTGCTTGCTGACAGGCCGTGCCCAGCTGTGCTCAGATTCTGGCTGCACAGGACCAGAAAATGCTCTCATTCAATGGAAAAAGCGAAGAAGTGGAGTTAATAAAGCCCCAGCCTTGCAGCCAAGCTGGCAAGAAGAAAGGAGTCTGTGGATTCCAGTGCTTATTAAGAGGGGGTCACATTGGTGTAGCCTTTCCCTTTGCATTAAGAGCCACACGCCAGGAACGGAGGGAGCCAGCAGCACCCAGCTCTGTCTCAGCTGAGTGGCCATACCCTGGTAGCTCCCTTTACCAAAAAAAGGCTGGGGGAAGTCATCAAGCTTGAAAAATACAGGCTGAGAGACAATATAACCTCTAGCAATAAAAAACCCCAGACAATTTTTACAGTAAGCCTAGGTCCAGGCAATTCCCACCATCATCCATCAGTGGATCACGCTTGTACATGGCTCAAGCACCCATTAGCAAAGCAAGCCCAAGCATCTGACTGGAGGTCCTGTCTAGGGAAGGGGGTGTAGAGAAAGATTAATGACTCATTTGACAAATTTCTGCGTGTATCTCAAGACAGTAAATTAAAAAAAAAAAAATACATTCATCTATACAAGAAAGCAAATGAGTGCTTCAATTAAAAAGTTATGAAAATTTGCAGTACAAACTATTCTCAAGGGATCTGAGAGCTACCACTAACATAAAACCCCCCAAAATATATCCAGTTTTCAGGCACATATCGTAAATATCACACTTCTTTTGGCAGCACACAACACATGGAAAATGCCAGCCTCAGAATCTGTGTACCAGGCTTGCTCTGCTCAGAGTCCCTCCATTTCTCTCTTTCTCAAGGCATGTTTGATCTCTTGTTATTTCCAATCCTCAGGCCGGACACGAGAACAGAAGTTGTGCAAAAACCATAACATGAAGGCTAAAAAAGCCAAAACAGAAGTGCAAGGGCAACACCATGACCTGAGTGATAAGCCAGGATTCTGACTGTCACTAACCTGTAGTAAATTCTGGATATTGTCTGCAAAGATGGGGAATGTAATTAATGACATGATCATCTACAGTGTCACACACCAGCAGCTGGATTTGGTTCCCAGCTGAGGTAGCAGAAAAGGTGAAAAGGCACAGCTTTACTCATGTCCTGCAGCCTGATCCTCCTCTCTTGACGGAAAGATTGTTCTGCTCCAGTTTTGCACAGGTCCCGGGGGCTGGGGCTTCCTAGAGGCAAATCTAACCATAAAGGCTGAGTATAATAATGGCTTCACTCAGGCACATCACAGGAACACCTGTCTTGACAGGATATTGGTGGCTGGGTTCTTTTTTCCCTTGGACTGATGAGAGAGAGGCAGTTTTCTCTTGTTCAGACTCGGTTGTTTATTCTTCTTTTATCTACATTACATATATACAAGGTACAAGGAGTTACGTGCACTAAGGTGCAAAATGGCCAACAAAGATCGTCTTCAAGGTTTCTTATATGTCCATTTACCCAATTAACAGATGCCAACTAAATTATTTTTCTTAGTGACCCAATGACACAACACCTGTGTGCTGCACTGCAACATTCTTTGTCCAATCACCTAAAACCTACCTACCACCCAAAAACCTCTAGAAGAAGTAGATGAAGGAAGAAGGACAAGAGACAACACGCTGAATCCTCCATCTTGTCTTCTGCTTTCTAAACTAGTTTAAACTCCAAACTTTAACTTTTTCACCCAGTGGCTTAAGAAAACTCTCTAATCTACACACACTTTTAGCTTTTCTATTTAATTTTACCAGTTGTTTTCAGGGTGTGATATGAAATTCAGTGTTTTCTTGGATGTCAGAGCCAGGTATCAGAGATAAAGGCACACTCTCTGTGCCTCTGACTCCAACAAACACCCAGCCTCGATAGCCTGCCTGGCACAGCAGCTGAGACATTGAACCCAAAGAATACAGACCAGAGCACAGAGCTGGCTTTCCCTGGAAAGCCCCCACAGATCCCAGGTCTCTGCAGGCCAGGGACCTGCTGAGCCAAACCCCAGTCCCTCTCTGAAGTGCACACAGCTTCCTCGAAGCCACAGCCCATGCTAACATTTACAGCTGCTGCAGCAAGGACGTCTACTTTGACAAGAAAAGCTGCCTATTCCTGTTCTGGCAGCAAGGAATGATTTCCATTTTCAACACAGAACTGGGACTATGGTGCAATTAATAATGACACACTGCCAACTTCCAGAGAGCATGATTAACATCCACTCGGTCACCTGGAGGGCAGACTTCATCCAAAACCCTGAGATTTCTCTTAGGGAGGGTGGGGGAGTGTCTATCTTACAATCCAGATTCAGCTAACCAGAAAAGAGAAATGCTTTTTCCCAGCTTTCTCAAATCCATCACGATAGCAAACAAACAATAGAACTGCAGCAAACATTTTTCAACACAGAAGGATCCTTATGAAGCTCTAATAGGTACAAGTTTGACCATAATGATCCATACTTAAAAGCAGATGTTTCTTAAATTCCTCAAAAAAATTCTAGCATTTGAGGGAATTAATAGCTCTATTAAAAAATAACAAGGTCAGGTTCCATTTTATTGTTCTACCTAATTACAGAACCTGATTAATTTCAGTTATAAAGTTTCAGAATAAGGTGAACATAATCAGAGATCATGATTAATGTTATTCTAACGAGCTCCCAAGAAATTAACATTTTAGCACTACAACTTTGCCAAGAATTTTT